TCTCTCTCTCTCTCTCTCTCTCTCTCTCTCTCTCTCTCTCTCTCTCTCTCTCTCTCTCTCTCTCTCTCTCTCTCTCTGCGTGTCTCAACTGTTGGCAGGCGCAAGACGTGGAGCAGCGCCAAACGGCGGGCCGACGTGAAGTGGCACGCCGCAGCACGAAGCAGGCGGCCGAGGCGAAGCAGCACGACGCAGCAGGAACCGGTCGATACACGCGCGGTATGCAAACTGGCCGCGAAACGGTTCTGACCGCTTGGCCATCGTGTGGTTCCGTCAGGCGAAACGGTTCGCTTCGCTCCGCGCCGGACCGCGACACCGGATTCCGTTGGCCATCGATTTCCCTTGGGCCCAGTGGTACCGTCGCGAGACCCTTCACTTGGGCCCAGTGGTACCGTCACGTGAGACCCGCGTTTTCCTTTATAGTAGTAGAGGGGAAAAAAAAAACTCCCCACAGCCAGCGCCGACCTCCTGTCCACCTCCGCCCACCTCCCTCCCGCCATTGGGATCGCCAATCTCCCCTCAACCTCCGCCCACCTCTCGTCCGCCTCCTCCCGCCATCTCCTCTCCGCCTCCGCCACTTCTCCTCCGCATCTGCTCACCTCCGCTCTGGGAAACGTCAGACTGTCGGGGTTCAACCTCCTGATGAGTCGGTGAAAGTTCGGCGAAACAGTCTGGCACGCACCTGCTTCCTTCGGTGGAGTTGTGTACAGCGAACATGGCGACACACGCACACACTAACGGGGCACGCTCACACACATGCACACAAGAGAGAGAGAGAGAGAGAGAGAGAGAGAGAGAGAGAGAGAGAGAGAGAGAGAGAGAGAGAGAGAGAGAGAGAGAGAGAGAAAGAGCACCCCACCATAACCACGCTTTCTGATGAAGACTATGTTGAAGATGCTGACGAAGACCAAAGATAAGGGACATGATTTACGAGGACAACGTAAGTTCTGCCCCCCTTTAAAAATAAAAAATAAAAATGGTGCGTGCCCACCTCCCCACGGCCAGCGCCAACCTCCTGTCCGCCTCCGCCCACCTTCCTCCCACCATAGGGATTGCCAATCTCCCCTCGGCCTCAGCCCACCTCCCATCTGCTTCCTCCTGCCATCTCCTCTCTCTCTTTCCTCTCTGCCTCCGCCTGTCGGTGTTCAACCTCCTGATGAGTCTGTGAAAGTTCGACGAAACAGTCTGGCACACACCTGCTTCCTTTGGTGGAGTTGTGCACAGCGAACATGGCGACACACGCACACTAAAGGCGGCATGCACACGCACACAAGAAAATGAGAGAGAGAGAGAGAGAGAGAGAGAGAGAGAGAGA